CAACTAGATCACCTTTGTCCACATACTTGCTGACACCCTCAAAGAATGTTAATACACAAAGAGCATATACAGGAGAAGGAGTAACAGACAAAGGCCCCATCCCTGTTTGTGATCCAAGGATGCTGCAATCCACCCAGATGAATCACAGTGAAGGACGGGGGCTAGGCTTACATCTCCAACTGTTGTATACCTTATTTTAATATTCTACTGCTATGTTATTCTCAATTTAGTATTGCAGTGAAACCTGGTAATAATAACCACCACAGGGTCCGATGGATTTCTGACAATGATGACAGATGACTACATGATGAAGTGTGATCACTGTGGATGAGCATTGTGGGTGAACTGAGATTCTACTGGTCTTTTGGCCAGGTGCCCACTTTTAGGGGTCTGTACCTGCATCACTGAAATCAATGGGAGTTTTGCTATTAACCTCAATGTATATGCAGTGTTGTAGCCCTTGGGCAAACACTTTTCACAAAATGATCATTCTATATCTGATTTCTCAGTCCTCATCCTCAAAGGAAACCTGCACAACACCTTCAAAAGACGAGCCTGGGCACTTACATTCATAAAATTTGTTAGACACTAATAATCATGGTCTTAATAAAGACACTGGATTTATGGCTCATTACAACAATCCGTAACCCACTAACCCCCTTTTTGTCCCAGGACTGCAAAGGGTGTTAACAGGAAACTTCACTTTGAATGGTCCCTTCCAATGTGTGTTAACTACTAAACAATCTGTTCTACCTTATATTTAGCTGTGATACTGAGTACCTTTCCCAGACCTGAAGAAGAGCATGGTGTAGCTCAAAAGCTTGTCTCTTTCGAGAAGTTGGTCCAATAAAAAAATATTACCTCACCCACCTTATGAATGTCTGTGGACAGTCTCTTAGCAGGTCGCAGTTGGTAAAGATTTCACCTGGAGTACATCAACACTAGAAAGGTAACAACGGTACAGCCGCAATCTCTCCAAGAGATGGTAGCTAGGGCAACGGAAGAATTCTTTCACAGCCCTGAGCAATGTAGTTAAGCCAATCTAACTCTGTAGTGTAGACCGGCCCTAGGTTTCTAATATTCTGATTTTTTTTTAAACTATCACCACCTTATTTACGATTTATAAACTGGATTTTATAAATCAGATTGGTTGATTGTTTTTAAATCATTGTAGTATTACTTTAAAAAAAAAAGCAGAAGAGGGCATTGTTTAACTGATCGCTGAAATTATAAGAAATTTTGGGGCATACAATTTAAGCTGCCAATTTTGAACCTATAGCCAAAGACTCCTAGCATATCTTTGGTGTGTTTCTTTTTGGGTTTTTTGTGTGCCTCTGAACTGCAGATGGTTCATAACATGCTAATATTGACTACACTGCAGCCTCTCTGCTGTTTCTGATTTCTCTGCTATAAAATTAAGAATTAACAAAAAAAACCTCCATTAACAACTTTCCCTTTACATTGTCCTTATGCAATTTGGAAAGCTAGTTATGGTAATTTCTTCATATGCCTTAACACAAAAACATAGTGCAGCATTACAAATTATTCCTAGCCTCACGATGAGATTGTCGTATCTCATTTTGAATGCAACCATGCAGATGTTGGCAGGTGCTTAAGTAGTACTCTGACAGATTAAAAAACAAAAACAAAAAACCAAAACCCACTTTTCTGAGAAACTCCTAAACATTCTCCTCCAAAATATTCTCTCCCCCAGAAGGTTGGAACTGAATGTTTGTAAGTTTGTTAATTTTCTATGGTTGTGTTGCAGGTTTTATCAAACCAGAGTAGGAATTGGCAGGGAATCTAAGATACATATTCAAATCATCTTGGTCAACTAGCCTGAACCAACATATGGTCCTGCTGAACAATGTGCTTATTATACATCCAACATAGGGAGGTGGGAGGAAAAGGAAGACAGCTGTTTCCAGTGACTTGTTTAAAGCTGTGCATGAGAAATGAAGATAATTTCTCTCCTCATCATAGTGGAAAGCGAAGCTCATTTTTAGTAGCTTTCAGAGCAAATGCTGCAGTTTCCAAACAAACCAAAATTACATTGTTCATCATGCTAGAAATTTTAGTATTTGTGTAGTTTTTTGTTATCTCTTAGTTTAACCTGATAAATCGATTATGGCTTGTGCCCGTGGGCGATAGTGTGATTATGACACTGTGACTAAATTAGGGAGCAAAGGCTACCATGCCCAGAGATACATCCAAGGATTCAGAACGGCTTCAGACAGCTAATTAGTGCACATGCTGCATTTGTAATTTTGTGCGACGGCAGCTACTGTGGTATTTTAAGAAGTGTGGCAATCTTACACTTGTTATACAATAAAAAATCGTATTAGGCCTTTTGGTAGATGTAAAGAAGCAAAATGTAAATGACGGCATCTGGCTGCTTGGCAAAACCAGTGAAACAAAAAATTAAAGAAAATTCTTATATGTTACATCATAATAAACTCACATAAGTCAATTTCCGTGCAGTCTAATGTAACACAACCTGATGAACTGAAACGCATACTACATGCAGGATTAAACTCCATGCTTGGGGTTACCCTAAACCTCTGACAACCAAAACCTGGGAGATCATTCGATCATTCCATAATCCCCATGAAATTCTGGAATGGGCCCCAGTTGGAAACAAGATATTGGGTAAGATGGACCATAGTCTGACCCAGTCTGGTAGCTCTTATGTTCTTACCTCTCATGGTCTCTAAAGTCTTTTAAACTACAGATTTCAGAGTAGCAGCTATGTTAGTCTGTATTCGCAAAAAGAAAAGGGGTACTTGTTGCACCTTAAAAACTAACAAATTTATTTGAGCTGTAGGTCACGAAAGCTTATGCTCAAATAAATTGGTTAGTCTCTAAGGTGCCACAAGTACTCCTTATTTTAAACTACACTGTCAGATTCTCAGCTAAAGCCTGTGTCCATGAGATAGAGGTGGGAAGAAGGGCTGCAAAGATCCCAGTTGTCGTTTCCTCATTCTGGGGCATTTTTACACTGACTCTGATCCCAGAATAGTTTAGGGCAGCCTCTTGAACGTTCTAAACTACTCAAGCTGGCTGTGGCCCCCAAAGGTCCATCTGTCAGCTGGTCATTGCCAGAGCGCAGTAAAGTGTTGGCAATACCCCTTCCGCCCCTAACATATCCCGTATGCTAGGGGCTCCTAAAGGAGTGGCTTAGGAGTCAGTTATGTTACTCTATTCCAGCTGGGGACTAATCCACCCAAGCATATCCCCACATATGCCGGAGCATAGCTGAGAATCCAGACTATTATTTTTGGTAGTCAATTGCAGAGACGTATCAGAGGGGTAGCCGCGTTTGCTGCTTTTACAGATCAAGACTAAGAGTCCTGTGGCACCTTATAGACTAACGGATGTATTGGAGCATGAGCTTTCGTGGGTGAATACCCACTTCGTCGGATGCATCCATGCATCCGACGAAGTGGGTATTCACCCACGAAAGCTCATGCTCCAATACGTCTGTTAAGTCTATACATTGAAGAGAAGTTAATTTAGCTACCCAGGTGAAGTTTGTACAAGCAATTTTTTTTTAAATCAGCATATCGTCTACCCAGTATGGTAGAAAGGAAATTGATAAACAAGACCTCTGGTAGATTTAAACAGTTCACTTCATCCAAGAACTCCAAATACTTACCTGCCTGCACATCTTAACTCCAACCATTCAGGAGAGCACTTTACTGCTATTGAGCAATTTTAAAACTGGCTGGGGTGAGAGGAAAAGCACCTTACCCCATCTAGAAAAGTATTCCTCTTATTTATGTGACATGACTACTTCCCAAAGGAACTGACTTCCCTTCCTTACAATTGTACTGTACCCGTAACCATAGAAAGAATGGGCAAACTCATTTTGCCATTTTAAAGCCACTTGAACTCAAACACTATTGGGTATGCATTCTGGTTAGGGAAGGCTACAAGAAACAGTGCAAAAGGGAAAAATAATGGTGAAAAAAGGAGGAGAGCAGACAGTGAAAAACAAAACAGGGGAAAGGCACCAGAGAAGGAAGAATTCTAAGCAAAATTTAAGCATCATGGGCCTGTTTCTTCTCTGTCTTACACAGTTGTAAATTAGGAATAACTACACTTAAGTTAAATATGGTGTAAATGAAAGAAGGATCAGGCTATTAAGTTGGTTTTGCAAACCCAAAAGAATTAGTTCCAGAGGTTCATAAAATCTCAGACTCCACAAGATTCACTCATCCTTTAATTCAGAGAGAATTTTCTACGTAGCGGCACAAAATACTGCTTAGTAAAAATATATGGAGTTCTCCAACTCCTTTGCCTAACTCTTTTCTACAGTGCTCCTCTCACCCCCTCTCCCGCCCACCAACCCTCCACCAGTAGGACTCCCTCTGTTTTCTTCTGTCACTACTCATTATTTCTTTCATCAGCTTTAATCTAGCAGGGAAAAGTCCCTTTCTGGCAGCATTTAAAAATATCCACAAAACAGTCACTGCAAGTCATAGTGGAAAATGCATTGCTGGACCTTGGCAGTGGTGCTGGGGGCCTCAGGGATTCGTAATAATCATTAGGGCATACTACTAAAAGTCAGTGCATGTTACACTGCATAAATGTGTGTGTCTGCATTCTATTTGCTTCCCATCACTGTTCCTCTCCTTCCCTGCCCCCCATGGCAAGTTCTGCGTACCCATTTGGGGGAGATAAGTCAATTTTCTTACCCTTCACTCAGCGATGAGTTAGTTATTTGTCCCAATAAACTTGTTCATTGCGGCGGGAACCTAGCACAGAGCCTTGTAAAATAAGAATTAATGGTCTCTTTTTTAAGAAAAAAATGTTTTAAAAGAAGGAACCCTGCAACAAATGTGTTATAATAATTAAGGAAACTACTACATAGCAGCAAAACTACATTAGACTTTCTGATTTTTCCATGGTGTCCTTGGATAGATACACTACCCAGTAGACCATGTTAAATGCTCCAAATGTGACAGGAAATAGAATGCGTGCATATTTGTCTATCTTACTAGTGCCAGAGCTGGAAGCAGGGGGAGCAGGAGACGGAGAGATAGCAGACGGCTTTACAGATGCTCCCACCGTATTAGCTGTGGTCTGAATCTGCTCCAGTCTAGATCCAAGTAAATGATGAATAGATGGGGATCCAGCTGTGATATGCTGGGTTATGCATCCAGTTAAAATTGGGGTGGAGGGAGGAGCTGGAGGAGTAGCTCTTGCAGAAGACAATGTTTCTGATACACTGAGGCGACTGAACGGGTTTGGACTTGATGCTGAAAGAGACTGGGGTGTAATGTCAGAAGACCCCTGAGTTACCCCAGAAGGTTGGGTGGAACTGTTTGCTGTGTCAGTTCGGTTCCCACCATCGGCTTCTGACTGTGCCATGGCATTTGTTCTTTTCCTCACATTTGAATTGGCATCTGTAGTCTGCAAAGTTACAAGAAATAATATTAGTCATTTTTAAAATAGACACAAATAGAAGTGATGGGAACTTTTTAAACAAGCCCTATCATGCTAATACTCATTCATATCAAAGTTAGCTTGATCCTGAAGTTCAAAGATACCATCTGCTCATGAATATGAACTTTAAAAAACCCCAAAACTATGAACAAGAAATCTCCTAGTAGCTATAATATCGACATGACCAAATCCGAAACTACCAGCATCAAGTGACATCAATTTAAACTTGATACCATTAATCTAAGGACTCTTAGCTTGTTTTTCTCCCTTTTGGGGTTGTGATTGGGCACAAAAAGCCCATACTGAGCCTCAAGGACTTAAAAGACAAATACTTGGCCCACGCTAAATGAGAGTTCAGAAGCGCAGGCAAAGGGTCGTGGACAGGCTGCAGGAGAGAGGAATGCTTCTCCAGGAAGCTAGACAGAAGGTTGAGCCTGAGTGTGGACCACAGAGCAGGTAAGGCCCCCACACATTGCCTTCTCCATCTACCCCAGGGCCCTGCTCCTTTGGACTTTTGGGGGGGCGGGGGGGGGCCGGTTGAGAGAGACTGACTGTTTGGCCTGTAGGAGCCATGCCCCAAACAGAAAAGCCCTGTTGGCAGGAAGTAGCCCAGGGAAGTGAACCTGGACTTACTACAGAGAGGATCCTGCTGCTGTTGCTGCCCGGTGGAGAGGGAGGGCTCAGGTCCCACTACCACACCCCTTTAGAGCCAAGGCCCAGATGTAGGAGGAAAGCTGAAGATTCCTGGATTTAAGGTCAGGAACAGATATCGCTACCACCCTGACAGGGAGGCCTGGGGGCAGAAGTCGGGCGTGCTAACCACTAGGCCACCCTGACCTCTGAGCCCCCATCACACATGGAAGAGAATGTGGGGAGCATAGTGTCCCAGACCTGAAAGTAGGCCAGAAAAGAGGGGGAGATGGAAGGCACAAATAGATTTTGAGAAGTTGCTGAAGTGGGCCCTGGAAAACCATTAACAGGTAGCCCAGCAACAGCAGTAGCAGAGCTAATGGCTCCAGCACTCTCTTCCCAGCAACAGCAGCTGATTAAAGAAATGGGGACACAGCAGCAGCTCATCAAGCAGATGATTACACTCATACAGCCACTTGGGGCAGCAGCAAGTCTCACCAGGGCAGGGGGAAGTGCCACCCTAATGCCATCCATCCTGGTGAAACTGACAAAGATGGGGCACACAGATGACCCAGAGGCATTCCTCGTCACATTCAAGAGAGTCACTGACATGACTCCGTGGCCAGTGGAAAGCTGGGCCAACCTATTGGCCCTCCACTTGTCAGGCCTGGTCCAGGCTGAATAATGGGTCTTTGATGTGGTAGCCACCCAGGATAACACTCAAGTCAGGGCAGTAATTCTGGGTGCCTGAACCTCTCCCCAAACCTACCACCAGTGGTTCTGTCAGGAGGAATTCTTGATTGGGACTCAGCCCTGGGCCATTGCCCAGAGTCTGAAAGAACATTGCTGGTGGTGCCAGAGGGTTGCACAGGTGCCACAGAAGGTAGGCATGGAACAGGGCGCACAGATCCTCTCTACGGGGGGTGTACATGGATTAGAAGGCAACATCCTGAAATTCTCACAGAGGTCATTGCCCTGGCAGAGAACTCTCTCAGATCCCTCGGGTCCAAAGCAAAAATGCCCGAAGTAACACCGGCATGACCCCAGGGCATATATATTACTGACCTCCGAATCCAGCCAAAGGTTCCCTGGGAACTGGGATGCCCAAACCCAGGGGTAAGGATACAAAGGTCTCAAAAGAGCCCAGAAGTCCAACCTCACTCTGTTAGGAGGGATCTGGACCCAATGGAGTGACTTTGCCCGCAGGGGCCATTTCCACAGGGAGAAGAAGTGATGGGATTGACTTCAACTGCAGGGGTTTGCTTTGCCTGTGGGCAACAAAGCAATTTTTGGCAAGACTGCCTATTCATGGATTGTATTTATGGGCAGGCCTAGACCACAGACAGCCAGGCTCAGAAGAGGGGGCCCAAGGAAAACGTTAGTCCAAGTGGACAGAGTGACCATTCAAGGACGGACAGACTCTGGCTGCAGCCAAACCCTGGTCAGGGAACCAGGGGGGCCAGGAGGGAAGCACAGAGTTATGATCTACCTCCAGTTCATCAATGGAAATATACAGCCCTACGCAATGAGAGAGATGAAACTAACTGTGCAAAACTGCACCAAGATCCTGGAGTGGCCAAAGACCTGGCCTATCTGGTCATCCTGGGGTGTGACTGGTGGTTTTGGAAGAGGTTATCCCGAGGGTGTCACATCCCTAGTGGAGGCAGGTTCGAGGCCAAAAGACCTCAGAAAACAGGAGATGGTCACAGTGGCCGAGGAAGGGTGCCACAAGGGGAGTTCCTAGGAGATGTCAAGGACCCAGAGGAAGGACTGTCCTTGGTAAAGGACCATGCACCGGGGCCAAACCAGAGCAGTAAGGGTCCACCACTACCCCTCAATGTGGACTTGTTGTCTGGCGAGATGGACTTTGTAGCCTGGATGCAGCAGAGTATATAATACACTCTTGACCTAATGAAAGGGTATTGGCAGATACCCTTGACGCCCGAGTCTAAAGAGACAACTGCCTTCTCCATCCAATTTGGTGGTATCAATTTAAGAACATGCCTTTTGGGCTTCCTGGGGCCACTGCCACCTTTCAGAGATTGATGGATAAAGTGCTGTGGCCACATGGGGCATAAACAGCCACCTACATTAACAGTATTTTCGTATACGGTGAAGATGGGATAACCATATAAGGCACATTATTGCAAACTACAAGCTCTTATGGAGGCAGTGTTGATGGCTAACCCAATCAAGTGCCACCTGGCTGCCAAATAAGTCACTTACCTGTGGTATACAGTGAGAGGGGGACAATTACGATCTCTGGTGGACAAAGTCCAAGCCCTAGCGGATTGCTCCATCCCCTCCACCAAGAAGCAAGGTCACTGTTTATTGGGACTTCTGGGGATGAATCTCTGACAGTACCCCCACCTTTGCTACCATTACTGACCCTTTGATGGATCTGGTAAAGGATTCTGTACCCCTGTCATAAATATAAAGGAAAGGGTAAACACCTTTAAATCCCTCTTGGTCAGAGGAAAAACCCTTTCACCTGTAAAGGGTTAAGAAGCTAAGACAAACTCGCTGGCACCTGACCAAAATGACCAATGAAGAGACAAGATACTTTCAAAGCTGGAGGGGGGGGAAACAAAGGGTTCTCTCTGTCTGTGTGTTGTTTTTGCCGGGACCAGAGCAGGAGTGCAAGTCAGAACTCCTGTAAAAAGTCAGTAAGCAATCTACTTAGATATGTGTTAGATTCTGTTTTATTTAAATGGCTAATAAAATAAGTTGTGCTGGAGGGAATGTATATTCCTGTTTTTATGTCTTTTTGTAACTTGAGGTTTTGCCTAGAGGGATTCTCCATGTTTTGAATCTGATTGCCCTCCATGTTTTGAATCCTGATTTTACAGAGGTGATTCTTTTACTTTTTCTTTAATTAAAATTCTTCTTTTAAGAGCCTGATTGCTTTTTCATTGTTCTTAAGATCCAAGGGTTTGGGTCTGTGTTCACCGATGCAAACTGGGGTAATAAACTCATTTTATCAAACCTTCCCCAGGAAAGGGGGTGTAGGGCTTGGGGGGATTTTGGAGGGAAAGACATTTCCAAGCGGGCTCTTTCCCTGTTATATTTGTTAGACGCTTGGTGGTGGCAGCAAAAAAGTCCAGGGACAAAAGGTAAAATAGTTTGTACCCTGGGGAAGTTTTAACCTAAGCTGGTAAGAATAAGCTTGGGGGGGTTTTCATGCAGGTCCCCACATCTGCACCCTAGAGTTCAGAGTGGGGAAGGAACCTTGACAGCCCCAATAAATCTGTTGGATGAAAAACTGTGATGAGACATTCAAAGCATTGAAAGACCAGTTGAGCCAGGAACTGGTGCTATTCCACCCAAAGGTCACAAAACCATTTATTGTGCAAACGGATGCAGTTGACGTCAGGCTCAGGGCACTGCTGTCTCAGGAATTCAGTGTAGAAGAGCATCCCATCCTCTGTCTCAGTAGAAAGTTGTTCCCCTGGGAGGTGGCATGCTCACTCACTGGAGAAAGAGGCCCTGGCTTAGTCACTGAGAAAATCAGCTGTTGATGTCCTGTGATATTACCTATGGGGGCAGCCCTTCTGACTAGTAGCAGACCATGCATCTCTCCTGAACTCCATGAAAGACCACAATCTGTCCATCGTACAGTGGTATCTCACGCTGCAGCCATATAGCTTCCATGTCTCCCAATGCACAGGCAGGAAAAACAAAAATGCCAATTTCTTCTATGAGCCAAGAGGAGATGTGGATCAGCCCTGTGACATCACAACTTGGTGGCTGAGTGGGAGGGTATGTGATGGGGTATACAAACCCCGCATAGGGCCCGAAAGTGTTAAAAAGACAATACTGGGACCAAGTAGCCTTGTCCGGCCAGGCTTGCTGAGCATGCACCACCTGGAGGAGCCGGTTAAGTGGGGGCTCAGAAGCCCAGGCAAGGGGTGATGGACAGGCTGCAGGAGAGAGGAATGCTTCTCCAGGAAGCTAGACAGAAAGTTGAGCCTGAGAGGGGACCACCCAGCAGGTAAGGCCCCCCAGACAGTGCTTCTCCAACCACCATCCCCTCTGAGAACAGTAGGTCCTGTAGGGCCCTTGGACTTTTTTGTGGTTGTTGAGAGACTGAATGCACTATAGGGGCCAAGCCCCAAACTGAAGGGCCTCCTGATAGGAAGTAGCCCAGAGAAGTGAACTTGGATTTACTGCAGAGAGGACCTGGCCAGTGTTGCTTTCCACAGGGCCCTGGATTGGGACCCAGTGGAGAGGGATGGCCCAGGTCCCCATACCACATCCCTTTAAGGGCTGAAGCCCAGATGCTGGTGGAAAGCTGAAGATTACTGGCCTAAGGTCAGCAACAGATATCACTACCGCCC